TTCAATAGGGTCCAATATATCTCGGACTTAGTTTTCCCTTCCTACCGAACCGTAACACTTTCTTCCACGGTGAGACTTTCAGAAATACCTTGTCATCAACATTGTATTTGATCTCACGATGTTTCAAGTCAGCATATGATTTTTGACGATCGGAAGCCACTTGCAATCTTTCTCTGATTAGACGAACCTTTTCTTCAGTTTCGCAGACGAGATCAGGTCCTTCAAGCCTTTGCTCGCTTAATTCTATCCAGCATACTAGGGTTCTACAACGTCTCCCATACAAGGCTTCCTACGGGGCCATTTAGATACTCACTTGATAACTGTTGTTATAAGCAAACTCCATTAGTGGTATGTATTGTTCCCAGTTGCTTCCAAAATCAATTACACATGCTCTCATCATATCTTCAAGAATTTGAATTGTCCTTTCAGATTGTCTGTCAGTTTGAGGATGAAATGCCGTACTAAAGTTAAGTTTAGTACCTAAGGCTTTCTGCAAACTCTTCCAGAATTGCGACGTGAATCGCGGGTCACGATCAGAAATTATAGACAAGGGCACACCATGTAATCTTACGATCTCACGGATGTACAATTCTGCCAATTTCTTTAAAGACATATCACGTCGGATTGGGATGAAATAAGATGACTTGGTTAATCGGTCAACGATTACCCAGACATTGTCATTCTTCTTGGCTGATAATGGAAGTCCGATCACGAAGTCCATCGTAATTCGTTCCCACTCCCATTCAAGAATAATAGGTACCACTACAAGAAAAGAGGCTTTTAGCCACATTTAATTCCCTACATATGGTCAAGTGTGGTAAAAAAATTTAGCACATTATCATTTATCCACACTTATAAGGGAAGGTATTAGAGATATCATGTACCACATAATATAAGTATCCCAAATCAATTATATGTACTTAATTTTAATAAATGTGCATTTAACTAATTAAATTACTCCTTAGCATTTGAAAATCTCAAATTACCCCGTAAAAACTTTTAAAAATTGGGCTCCTATTTCACTCAATTAAGAATCACGCCTAATTTTCATTGTCCTATCCATTCCGCCGCCAAGCTAATAATTCATCTCCCAAAAGAAAATTAACCTAATCAATTTGTGCGTCTTCATCAGCTCTCTGGCGCACGGATGCTCTACCTCTTTCATTCTGCATCAGTAGTTCAGTACTCCTTCAGCATCGTACTCACAGTTCTTCGTCCAGATCCAGATCATCTGCTAATCAATCATTCCGCATCATCTTAGCAATCGTTCGGCCTGACGAATTCATTTATGGTATGTTTGGGAACATGGATTTGGATTTCAAATCCGGATTTGGCTTAAATTCCATGTTTGGGAAACTTAAGCATTTTGAATTTGGATTTGAATCAAATTCTTTACATTCAAAACCAAGCTTAATTTGAAATCCATTCACCTCCCCTGGTCATTTGAAATTCAAGATTTTAAATTTTGGAATTGAAATGCATGAATTTAAGTGAAATGCTAGTTGTCAAACACTACCTTAGGTTTTTATTTTCCTTTTATCTCTTGAAATTAGATTGTTGAATTGATTTTGTGGCAAAGTACGTTAACTTGCAAAGGAATTAAATTGAAAAAATAGACAAAAATATTAGACGCATCATATCTAGACCAATGCAGTTTTTGTCAAATTCATCATAGAAATGCGTCTAATTTGATTGAAAAACCCAAACTTGTGATTGTTACCCGGAAAATTTATGGTGCTGTGTGTAAACCTGTTTCATATATGACTAGATGTTAGTGTTTGTGTACCCAAATCTGTGTATATGACATAATAAAATAGAAGTAATTACTTCAGTGTGGAAAAGTGGGGTTTTTGAATATGGGAAATCTATAAAGGAATCACAACATACCCAAAAAAATGAATTATAAAAGTGGGGTTCTTAAAATTCTCATGCTTTATATAAATTTAAATCTCTTGGGCAGTGAGGAGCTATCTCATGCTTGTGTGCTGGTATCTGTTTTCTGTTTTCTCTTTCGAGTTGCTCTTGCTCACAAATGTAAAAAAGTGATTATAAGTTAATATAAGGATTTGATGTTTCGTGTGCCCATTCCTAGTTGCAATATTAATGGGTGTATTTCCATGTTTCTTTAGAATTTATTCTAACGTATAGGTGAACCATATTATCTTTGTGCAGATCACATAAAGTTTTAGATCATCCTAATTACATTCGGACTTGATTATTTGTTAGGCTGGTGCCTTGATGATTGTAAGCCTGCTAGCTGATAAGGTAGCCCTATAACTCAATGTTGTTAGAAGCTTGATTTGCTTCCTAGCAGACACGTCTAGCAGTGTTGCAAGCGATTCAACTGTTGTATAATGATTTAGTATGTCCTTTACAGCCATGGTGAACCTTATTCAGGTATTAATGGGTTTTAACGAATATGAACAAAACTCATATGGTTTTAAGTTATATAATTTTTGTTATTATATTATTCCTCATATGATTGATTCTCCATATTTTGCTGGACTACTCATGATACAAACTGCTCCATGAAGTCTTAGACTCTTCTGTATGCATTGTTACCCAGTGGTTGATAGTTGGCTTACATATTTTGCTCCATATTTTAACCATATTAGTAAATCTGATTCCCTAACTGAAATTTTAAGTCTAACGTCATGCTCTTATTTTAATTTCCTTCTCCAATTACAAGCTATGGAATTACTTCCAAAGAAGAGCATGAACATTCTGAATGAGATCAGGTAGTGCTTGCTAGCCTTTGTATTTTATACAGATACAAATAAATGAGCATGTACATAATTATTTCAGTTAATTTCTGCCATACCTAACTATTCGATACTACTTATTGGTTTTTAAAAGGGATGTTCCAAAAATTCTCAGTGGTCTGAAAGAATAAATCAACATTGACAAGTTCCTAGTCGTATTTTTGGACTCTCGACTTGAGTACAGGTTAAGCTTATAATCGATTGATTATTTTTTGTCTTGAACATGATTGTGTTTTGGATGGAGGTAATACCATTTACTCATATGGCATTCTAATATATTATTTTTTTTCTTTTGCACATAATGGTTTGTAGACTTGGCTTCAAAAGGCTTATAAAAATTCCTTCATTGCAAGGATTCGATCCGCTTCTTATGATGCAGAGTAGCATGCTACTCCATTGAAAGCTATGGCATTGTATTTTGGATAAAGGTATCTGTATTCAGAATCACAACAAAATCTCAGAGTCACCATTTTCTACACTACAGTTCTACAAATGAGCAGTTGAGCACTTCTTTCTTGGTTCTTAAATAGGGACTTCGAGATTTGCTATGGTTTGACATATGGTTTTTCTAGCAGTTCCTAAAACAACAACAGTTGTTGAAGCTTAGATGCTGAGCTCGTCTACGATTTACTGATACTTCCTTTGCAGTTGATTATTTTCATTAGGTTTTGAATCAGAATGTGGTTGCGCATTTTGGAAACACAATACTTGATCTATCAAACTTGTTATTAGGATTTTGGATGTTTACAATTTGTTGGTCATTGTTATTTTTCGTTTAGTAGCATTTAGCTAGGGCTGATTCTTTTAGAGTATCGTGTATGTGCAAAAGCACTTGGTTACTATTTGAGTTATTTTTCTTAGCCTATTAGCTCAATGGTAGAGTGTCGTGTGCAAAAGTACACGGAGATGTGGGTTCAAGTCTCAATGAAAGAACTAAGAATAGATTAGGAGCCTAGGATTAATCTAATCGTGTGGCTGAGATACAACCTTTAAAATAGGAAGTGTAATTATTATTTTACACTCCTTTTGACAGTAGCATCGTGGAGGGGCATATTTGGGAGATTTGATTTTATTGAAATGCGTAGATGTTGGAGAATCCCGCCTAATAAGCCGCAGGCTCAGAAAAGAACTCTTCACTTCTCAATAAACCTCGCTGGTTGCGTTGCCTTTCTTGCGCTAGTGGTGCAGCGATTTATCATTCTCAAGGTGTTATTGGAGCATTCGGGTCGGACTTGTGCCCGTTTCATACCGCCGAAAGAAGATTGCAGAGATGGAGGCTGAAGGAGTATCTGGTATGTGCCACTTTTTTGGTGTTTTTTTCGGCGACTTGGGTTTTGGGTTTTTTTTTCATGTGTTTGGGGATGCATTCTTTACTCATGATAGTTGTTGATTGAGTAAAAAATGGTGCCTTACTGCACAATTTGGCTACCGGTAGGGGTTTTGGGTTTTGGGTTGTTGATTGGGTTTTTTTGCGTGTGTTTTGTCTTACTTCGAGGATGTGTGTTTATTTTTTATTCTCTGAATCTGGGACAAGATGGTTGTTTTTTTTTAGGTGTGTGTGGGTTTTTTGTGCATTATAAGTATATGGAAGATGGATGTTTATTTATGTTCTGATGATTTTAAGTGTTGCAGTGTCATGTGTTCACATCATCTTGAGGTTGATGTGCAGTTTGGGTTGGTTTCATAAATTAGGGTGTGCTGAATCTGAGCAATGTGAATTTTTATTTTGAATTTAGTGTATACTGTGTTTTGTGAAATTCTTTCATCAGTTGCAAACATGGATATGGGGTTTTTCTGCTTTTGGTTGTCCTTATAGTGTACTTAATAGATAGTGTTGTTATTTGTTAAACAAATTGACTGGCGTAGTGTGATTGTGTTTCGTGTATTGCATGTGGACATCTAATTTTTTGATGTTGTGATGCTGTATTGGTGAATGAATCATGTGTACTGTGATGTTATACTTTACAGTTTTAAGTTGTGTGCGAACTGTTCCTTAGTTGTTTCCTGTGAATAGGATATACTGCATTTTTGTGATCTGATTGAGTGTTTGTGTCTGCCTAAGGTGTCCTTTTCATATCTGCACTAAATTATTGTAATTGTGCAACATGTTTGGCCTTTTTTAAGTGGATTATATTGTTGTGGTGCAATAGACATTCTGCTGAGTTTTTATATGAGCATTGTAGTGTGGAATTAATTTGTTAGTACTATATATAGAATATAGGTTTTCGTAAAGTATCCTGCTTTTGAGATATGCATTGGATGCCTTTGGTGCTTGTGTATAAGTTATGGTGTTTCTTACATTTTGGTATGTGTGTATTGGTAAAGTTATATTGCATTGAGTTGTTAAAGCATTGTGGTGTCGCCAATGTATGACATGGTTTGGCTTATTTTGTAGTGTTCGTTCTGCTAATTCATGGGTTTTTCCCTGGTGAAGAGCGATTGCTTAGTGATCCTTTTGTTTGCAATTTATAGATTTATGTGGTTCAATTGGGATGAATAAGAGGCGTGTGTCTGAGCAATGTGATAGTGTGAGTGTGGAAAATGTTTTAACATGGCTTCAGATTAACATATTATTGGTGCATGGTAAACAGTGATGAGAGTTGTAGGATATGGTATTGTAAGAATTTATCATTTTGACAATGGTGCGGTGGAGTATGATAGTGTTCAGCTGGAGTCAGAAATTGTGTTTGTGGTTTGATGCATATAGTGTAGTAGTTGGTGTTTGCTTAGCTTTGTACAATGCATGGTTTAATATTAGCACAGAGGGGGGCTTACTGTGCATCTAGCTTTGTTAATAATATGGTACTGTATATATCAATCCGTAGGTTATTAATCTGCTTTATGCTTGGTATTTTTTTTAGTTTATAGAAATGTTGTGTATTGAAATTTTGTGCATTTTATACTAATACATAAGGGTTTGATTCTTTAAAGTGTAAAATGGTTTGGATATTCGAGTTTGGTGTTGTTTGGTGTGGTTTGGTTGTTTGGGTGTCCACAGAAACACCACGTTTGCGTTGTTATGTTTTGTGTTGTGATTAGGCATTGTATCCTTGCTTACGAGTATTTGTTTTTTGTTTTTTTTGTGGGGTCTGCAGATCTTGCCTTGAAAAAAAGTTCCAAGCGCAGCAAGAAAACTGTTGTAAAGGCTTCACCGATTCGAAGAAGCGATAGTATGCAGCTTGCAGAGATTAAGAAAAGGCCAAAAGTACACGCAGCGCATGTCGACTTGGGCGAGGATGACAAAGATTCTGTGGAAGATGGTGGTGCAAATGGGAATGAGAATGCTGGTTCAGATGTGTCTGGAGATGATGTAGTGAGTGGGGGAGATGATGGTGGGAGTGCAGAAGAGGAGACTGACGTGATGATGCATTTGATGACCCACCTCGGAAGACGTCAACTGACCCTTCACCGAGCGCTTCGAGGAAGAATGATGCAACTGTAAAGAAACGAAAGAGGCAGGGGATAACCAAATTGAAGGAGAAGTACCTGCGAATTCAGTCGAGAGCTTCTCCCAGCGTTTTGCAGAAAGTGGTTGAAGCTCTGGACGAAGTTCAGAGGCGGGTGGTTGTGAGGATTGGGTTTGGGTCTATGTTAAGGATCAAGTTAACTGAGCTTCCGGCGAAACTAGGATTTTGGGTGGTAGAGAAATTCAATCCTAGGAGTAGCAGTATTGAACTTGCAGACGGAACAAAGGTGCATGTGACGGTTGATGATATTAGACATGTTTTGGGTTTGTCGTGTGGGTGTGTGAAGGTATTAAGCAAAAAAAAAGGTGAGAAGTGTGATATACTTGAGCAGTTGAGGGTAGAGATCGGAATGAGGGACAACAAGATCAGCCCTTTAGAGCTTAGTGAAAAGGTATTGCAATATATTGATGGTGGTATATGGTTTGTTCGTCTTTTCTTGTTGTTAGTCGTGTCAGTTTTGGTTGATAGCCCGAGCCATGGGTATGTAAACAATTGGGTTTTGAAAAGATTGGAGGATGTGGATGGGATTGCACAGTTAAACTGGTGTGAATATGTGCACCGAGCATTGATTGGTAGTAGAGTGAAGTGGGAGAAGGGGAATAGAAAATACTATATTGGACCTCTATTGTGCTTGATGGTAAGAGTTTTGTTTTCTGACAACTCTAATTTACTTCATTATAATGTAGTTGTTTTTAATGTAGTCTTTGTTATCTATTTTTTAAGGTGTTCTACATGGACCGAGTGGTGCTCTATAGTAGAGACGTAGAGAGAATGTCGCCTGCATTTCTGGGATGGACATCTAAGATCCTAAGGGATAGGGAAAACAAGGAGGTCAGAGTAGGTGGATTCGGGTTGGGGTATGAAGATGGTAGATTTGTTGGTGAGGTGATGGATGTGAGCTCTGGTGACACAGTTGTTGGTGCGTGTTTAGAATAGGTTAATGTCGAAACTGGTAATGGTGATGCGGCAGAACCAATGGGAGAGCCGAGGGATGATCCGGTCGAGGTAAGTGCAGGGGGGATTAGTTGGCAAACCGTGAACTGAATTTTTTTTTTTGGGTTGTTGAAATTTAATTCTTTTTATTTTATGACACCCTTATGCATCAGGTTTTTGTTCTAAAGTTTGCAGAAAAGGGGAAAGTACTGGCTACCACAATCATCGACCTAGTGTCGTTGATTGAGAGTGCACCATCTGGTACCATGGAGAATGATGTGTTCAGGCAGCTACAGCTTGCAGCGGGTAGATTATTGGGTTTGGCACAACGTAGAGGCGGTGGAAGCTTAGAAACACCTGATGGAGGTTTTTCTGAGGTGACTTATGATGAAGGTTTCTGGAGCGACCCTGCAAACATAGAACAGTTGATGGCGAATGCACGTTCAAAATACAAGAAGATCATGGAGGATATGCCATCGTTCAGTCTAGGGTTCTCGCAATTGGATGTAGAGAATGAGAATGTGAATATTGATGGTGGTGATATCGGTGCTTGCAAAAATACTCCTAGCACTCCAGCAGTTCGGGTTGTGAATGAGCCGGAGAGTAACCCTGTGGTTGAAAATGTTTTCATAACACCTGGAGAAGTGCATTATCGTGTGGGAGATGTAATTTTTATTATTGCCGTAGAGTGATCCTTGGTGTTGTGTATCACTTTGTTTTGGTGTACCATAACAATTTGTAATGGTTTTGTTTTGTTTTTTGTTTGATGATGCAGGCAGTTGATAGGGATTTGGCTGGTGGAAGTAGGAATCAGCCGGACAAGATTGAAATGACAGCGGTAAGACCGTTATTCTTAGTGGTGTTGGTGATTTGTGTGTTGCGTTATGTTTCGTAGTGACAACACCAATGGTTGATATATGCGTAGGTTGCTGGTGTGAGTGCAGTGGGTGATGGAACTGTGCCAGGAACTGATCCAGTATGTTCAAAAGCAGTGGTAGGAATGATTTTTTGGGAGATGTCAAAAATTAATTCATGCATGGTAATTGGTGTTTTGGTTGGATTTTTTAGTGACTTAATTAGAAATATTATTGTTATGTAGGAGGTGAAGCAATACAATGCAGCAAGGAAGTTCGCTAGGAGTATAAAACCTGTCGGGCCTTTGAGATCACCCTACCTTACGCGACCGATTGATCCTTCAGATGGGTTATCTGTCCTGGAGAAGAGGGTGACGAATTGGGTGTTGCAGATTCCGAATGCTCCAAAGTAAGTTTTTGTTTTGAACTCTGCAAATTTGATAGAACATTATTGAATATGTATGGTTTAAAATTTGAATTTTAGCTCTTTAATAATCACATATTATGATGTTTAGGGATGAAGCTTTTTTCGTGAAGGATGGATTTGAGTTAACAAGAGGTGAAATTGCATCGTTGGATATAGGGGAGCATATTTCAAAGAGGGTGATAGATGTGTGGTCAATAATACTCAACCACAATGAGAAATTCAGAAGTGAGGAATCCCCGTTGCGTGTGTTTGCTAGGAGCATGGATTGTGTAAGCTGTTATTTTTTCTGTGTGCGTACTTAAGTTTGAAAGGGGTTTCCCATGATGCTTGAACTGACATGTTTTGAAAACAAAAGGTTGCAAATGGGGATATAGTCGATGTGTCTGAGGCGAACGTGAAGAACATGTTTGCAAATGCGCTGCTTCCTGCGTGGGATGACATGGCAGATGATTTCAACTGGGGGAAAGCTAAACTGGTAAGAATGTTTACAGTAGATGCAATGCAAAGATTGAAATTGGTTGTATCGTTCTGCGTGGTTTATCAGTAGTTCATTGTGTTTAAGAGAATTTGTTAATGTGTGATTTTTTGGATTATGTGCAGTTTTTCTTTCCTATTATGCAACAGAACTAGGCATATGTGTTGTGTGTTGACCCAAAAAGCAGACGCTGTGACATCCTGGATAGCTCTTCAGCGAAAGCAAAAAACAAAGATAGATATGGTGACATGCCAAAACGAGTTGTAAGAACTTTGGGTGCATGGTTTTAAGATAAGGTATATTAATGTGGATGATTTATTAACATGAAATGTTTCAACCAGGTGAGGTTGTTGGGGTGATTTTGTTGAGCAGCAGAGGTTTGTTTTCAAAGGTAAATGTGTTACATAAATGGTTGCAAAGAGAATTACGTTCCCTTGGAGAGATCCGAAGGCTACGTTTGACTACAGTGTGGAAACCATGCGTCATATGGAGACGTATATGGGGGATGGTGGCAAAGGATGGAACAGTGGCTTGTCGAGGTTAAATCTGAAACCTATGTTGTTGCTACGATGCAAGTACTGTGCATGTATACTTCTAAGCCCAGTTAATGCACTATTGGACAAGGTTTACGAAGAGTCGGAGAAACTCGAAAGGGAGAGGAAGGAAAAGGATCCTAAGTGAACCCACCCCTGGAATGGCTGCATCTTACTTTTGTGTTTTTGTTGAATTATTTTAATTTGTTGTTGGTGAAAGTTGGTGACACCATTCATTGATGGAAGTGTTATTTGGGAACGAGTTATCAGCCCATAGTTGGGTTTTTTTGTGTGGATTTGAGGCAGTTGTTTTTTTTGTATATGGTGTGAATGGTTATGGTTTTTTGAATGAAGTTGTGGTGTTTCCAGATTTGGCGAGTTTGTGGCTTGATTTATGTGGTGTGTAGAGTGATGAAGACTTGTCTATTTTTTTTAGAATGTGTTTGTCATTACGTATATTAAAAGTGTTGTAAGTGGTTGGATTGAGTGATTATTAAAGAAGTATTCTGTTTTGAGATTTGTGAAACAAAGGTTGCCGCATTGTGATATGAACGTAGAGAACATAAGTACCAATGTATGCATCACTAAATGACTTTAATAGTGTTATAATAAATCATTTGAATAGTGAAGGACACTAGTGGTTTATTAACACCATATTTGGTTCAAGGAATCTGAAATGAAAAGGAAATAATAGGAAAGTTAATTGTGTCTTGTTCGGTTAGAGAGTAAAAGTTGAAGGAAAAGAATGTGACAAGGCAAAATATATTTATGGAAAGGAAATCGAACTCATCCCATTTTGCTGAGGAAAAGGGGATAAAACCATTTTTTTCTTTTCCCTTAAAAATTCCTTGAACCAAAAAAAGTTTAAATGATGCATTCGAGGGATTTGCTTGTGCATTTCTGGGTGTGTGAGCCGCATATATTGTCTGTGACATGCCATGATGTACATTATATGCGTTACCATTTATATACGTTCTGCGAACGGGGTGAACACGTTTCAGTAAACAGAACCCCACTCTATATGGTTTTAAAACCTGAGTAAAAAACAAATCCATACATGAAGTCATGTTAAAATATGCTTCATAACCACTTCAATATATCCATATATTGGTATAAAATCTATTTTAAAGGTGGAATGCACAACTCTTATATGAAAATTCAGTTAAAGAGTGATCTGTTTTAACACGAATGATTTATGCAGTATAAAAAAATGAAATGCTACAGGGGTAGAAATAGGTGATACATTCAGTAAATGAGCATGTTATAATGGGAGGTGAGTAGTTTTGTCTGTGAAGGTGAGGGGTGGAGGGGTGGTGAATTGGTGTTGAAAATGAGTCATTTAACCATTGGAATTGATTATTTCAATTCAGGAATATAAAAGTTGGGAAAAAATCAGAGACATATAAATGGAATAAAAATAACTGAAACGTTAATAAACAATAAAAGTGGAACCGGAAAATAGACTTATCACTTCTCATGGTTCATAGGATAGTTCCTGCTGTCGTGGAAGCCATATTCTTTGCATGTCCGACACAAGCGTTTGGTTTTCTTTGATTCTTCAATGCTAACTTCCTTTCCTCCTTTAATACGCTTACCGCTGCCCTTCGTACAAACTTGCGCAGGGGGTAATACACGAACTTTTGAAGGTGCAGAAGTGCCATAAAAGTTTTCAAACATTGAGGATGTGTCAGATGATAGTTTTCCATCTTGAAGTTTGTCAATTAGCGCCTCCTTGTGCTGATTTATAGTGTTGGAAAAGGCAAGTAGCAGATCAGGGTTGTGTTCCACAAAGGCAATACAAAAGTGGATGTCTGACATCAATCGAGAAACAATAGTCTTATTTTGATCCGTAAATGATACCTTGTCCATTTCTGAGCCACCGACATTGAACATTGGTTTGAGCAAGTGGAATTTGCACCAGCGGTTGGTAACATACAAGTCGGGGATCTTTTCTATTTTCAGGTTTTTGAAAACAACAAAGATGTGCCTGCATAGCAAGCCAATGCGTTCGTAGTTTTTGCAAGTGCAATGCACGGTCCCATCGCGTTCACAGTAGCGGACAGGTTATATCATCCCACTTACATCGCTGATCTGATACTCGGAAGCATCCTCACTGTTTTGGATACATACAATAGAGCATGAAAAACAGGATGCACAAATCTCTTTTTGCACATCATAAAAGACAGAGAGAGTGAATAATGAAGCAGCGTATTTTTCAATCTTTAATGGGGTTTTGAACACTGGAATTCCCGACTCGGATTCTGAGTTCAAACGAGTAAATTTGAACCGTTGGTCCTCCATTGCACTCTCGAATTGCATTAATAATTCAACTAGGCTAAAGTTGCGGTCGGTGAAATTGTCAAAGAAACTGTTTTCACTCTCTGATCTAGACGTAGTGCGCAATAGCCCGGCCATAAATAGATCCCTGAAATAGGCTGGAATCCAGAACTTACGTAACGTGTATAGTGACTTGAACCACGATTGCTCCGTGAGGTTGTAGTCTGCCATAACACTGCGCCATTGTGCTTTCCATTCTTTTTTGTCCAAGTAATGAGTCCAAACCACCTGATTAATGCGATTCATGAATTCTGTATCCTTGCTTAACACCGGACCAACTTTCCCTGATAGTTTGTTCATAATATGCCACATGCAATAGCGATGCTTGATTTGTGGTAAGACTTCTTCTATTGCAATTCGCATTGAAGGATCTTGATCAGTTATGATGCAACTTGGAGCATTCCCCATCGCGTTCATGAATGATCTCAACAACCATGAATATGACTCAGCGTCCTCGCTTGACAGTAAGCCAAAGCCGAACGTCAAACACTTTTTATGGTTGTCGACACCAGTGAACGGAGCAAATATCATCATGTACCTACAAGAAGTGATAAGGACATGGATAGTGCTATGAATCAACAAAGAGTTGCACGCTATATTCGTATGAGGTGAGATGTGATAAATGGAAATTAATAGATGTGTGACCTGTTGGTTTTATATGTGGCATCAAAGGAGACAACATCACCAAACAGGGAGTAGATTTTCCTAGAAGCAGCGTCACACCAAAATAGCCTGGACAGCTGGTCGTACTCGTTAACTTCATCATCAAACCTAAATCCAGGGCATACTTCTGATTTTCGGAATAATTTGTCAATGACCATTTGAGCATCTCCACCAGCAATATAGGCCTTCAAATCGCGTTTGAAGTTTTTGAAGTCCACAACAGTAGCACCAACACTTGAATACCCACCAACGGACTCCTTAAAAAGTCGGTATGATTTCATGGTGCCAATATTCGCTTTAGCATAGTTGAGTATGAACTTCTTATGGCCTAGATCAATGTTCCTATTGATCTTCAAAAATGGTCTGTAGGGGAGAGAAGTGAGAGGATGATTGTGTTGTTCTTCGAATATGCTGAGAACGTAACCATCATGTCTAAGGATGCGAAATGCAACACGTGCCATACAGCCTATACGCTTAGAAATGCGTCTTCTTCTCCCAGGTTTAGGTAATGCAGCATGTCCATTGTCATGTGATGCATCGTTGAGGGATATTGTGGGGACATGTTTTTTACCCTCGCGGCTACATACAACGTATTTCCAAACAACGGAGCCCTTTTTCTTTGTAGTGGTAGTCTTGCGCACATCAAACCCCGCCTCAGCAGCATAAGCACGATAAAATCGAATAGCATCATCCAGGTCCTTAAAAACCATGCCTACCTTTGGAATGTAATTATCAGGGCATTGCGGGACCCAATGACGTTCGACGTAAGAACTGCTGCCTTCATTTGGCACTTCCTGATACTTTGTGGGGGTAGCTGTAAGAATAAAAGTGAATAATTCAGCACTATTTTACTAATACAGCCGCAACGTGAAGACATGATATTGTAACAACATACATAGTAGGAGCATAGTTTGTGCATTTGATTTGGGGTATAAAAATGGATAAAATTGCACTGTGTAGGCTGGATATTGCAATTCAAGCCAGGCAAAATTACAAAAATTTGAGGATGACACCTAAATATTTTATTTTAGGAATGCAATAAAATCTCAACATAGATGTGGAGTTTTAAATTAGTTTTAAAAAAACAGTTTCAGGATATCATTGCACGAAGCGTGACCTCAACGGGTCATTCATATGTGGAAGGAGACTTACACTCGAGTGGATTAATATAACGGTGAGTGGCACATAACTGTTTTAATATGAAGCAATGTATTGACAGCTTTACCTGTTCTTTAGGACTGTAAAAAAAAAAAGCTGGATGTTGGAAGAAACTGGAAAAAACTGGAAAAAACTGGAAGAAACTGGAAGAACTGGAATGAACTGGAAAAAACTGGAAGGAACTGGAAAAAATTGGAAGAAACTGGAAGAAACTAGAAAAAACTGGAAGGAACTGGAAAAAACTGGAAAACCTAAAAAAACTTTAAAAATATTTATTTTAAATTCTTGTTGTTATAAATTATTATTATTATTATTATTATTATTATCATCATCATCATCATCATCATCATCATCATCATCATCATCATCATCATTATCATCATCACAATCATCATCATCATCATAATCATCATCATCATCACCTTATCTTAGTGAATGCATTTAAGATATAAAGAAGTATTGTTATTTTTTAAATACAAAAAACTACTTTAAAAAAATAATTATAATATAAAGTTAGCATAAATATAAAAATATTAAATTTTAGAAAGACTGTGTAGTTATATTGCACCTCAATTTATTTATGCAGTATTTATTATAAATAATATATTTGTAATTATAATTTAAATATTAAAAGATTTTGTTCTAAATATCATACATGTCACATAATCAAACCTATTGTTTCTTTCATGATTAACATTTTATTTTCATTGAATTCCTATTTTTGGAATAAAGACATAAATTTTTTTGTTTACATTTTTTATGTTTTACTCATATTTTAGTCTTTTTCTCTAAGCTCTTTTGACTTACAATTTTTTTATATAAAAATTAGAAAAATGAGCAATTTTTAAGTAATAAAGGAAAAACTGAGATGTCTTATAAAAAGTTATATTAATAAAACATTCAATGTAACAAACTTATCCATAATTTTTTAGTATAATTTAACACATTGATGTTTTCCTGTTTTATCATGTAGATTAATATACAAAAAATGTCTTATTCATATTAAAAAGTTGAAGAAAAAAATAATAAGTGTGAATCGTAAAAATAGTGAGATGAAAAAAATTAATTTATAAACTATAGTTATGAATATAACAGTATATAACAGTTGTAATAATAATAATAATAATAATAATAATAATAATAATAATAATAATAATAATAATAATAATAATCACATTGGAATATATCATTTTTAGAGTAATTGGTTGAGGAGTAGAAAGAATTTGAAGAAAATGAGAAAAGTTGGAAGAAACTGGAAGAAACTGGAAGAAACTGGAAAGAACTAGAAGAAACTGGAAGGAACTGGAAGAAACTGCAAGTTAAGAGTTCAAGTCCTAAAGAACAGGCCCTTAGTAGTGAGACTTGGGAAAGGAATGGGTTAATAATTGGTGTGAATCGCTTCTTTTTTCTGGGACATGTGAGCTGGGATGATTATAGTGCATAAGTTTGATAGGAAAATCTATTACTATGTTCTGTGTATGCATTAATTGGTGAAATGCATCATTCAGATTTGGGATTATTACTTTGTTCTTAATCCCAGAGTTTCGAAATTTACACAATTACTAAATTTTCCATCACACAAATACTAAATTTTTTCCAAAAAAAAAGAGATGATAATTAACTGACACGAAAAATTACAAAATAACAAGGTTGAATTTATAATTAATTGAAAAAACTTGATTGACTCAATGGTTGAATGACTCGATTAAGAACAAAGTACTAATCCCAATTCTTAATCCCAGAGTTTCGAAATTCACACAATTACTAAATTTTCCATCACACAAATACTAAATTTTTTCCAAAAAAAAAGAGATGATAATTAACTAATACGAAAAATTACAAAATAACAATGTTGAATTTAAAGGGTACGTGGTTGTGAGTGAAATTCCATCGCGTAATCGTTGTCTCCGTGAAATTCCATAGGTTAAATGAAGGGGGCACGCCATTAGTTCCTATCACGGAGGCTTTTATGGTGATGGGGGGAGGACGCAGACATATATTCGGAAGAATTAAAGAGGAATCCATGCCAAGTAATGTCTTCCGGTAACTGAAAGCGTCGTAACCGGGGCTGAAGGTGCACAGGGACGTGGGCTTAATTCACGGAGAAGAAGGTGGAACGATAATGCCCAGAGTGGTAAAGTTCTTTTTTACCCTTGCTACGGTTTAGATGGGAAATGGCAGATAAAGTGGATCCAACGGTTGATATCTATTCTTATTTCTTTCATTAGATCTTTTTTTTATTTGATTCAAAACATATATATATATATATATATATATATATATATATATATATATATATATATATATAGGGGCCGGTTCCTGTAAGAATGCACCTTGTGGAGAGAAATGAGAATGAAATCTAGCCGTTGGATCTGATGCATCGTGCGGCTCAGATTGCATCCTGCGCTCATATTTTGAGATAGTGCATTTTCAAAGGATTATGATGCATTTTGACGTGATGCATTTTCAAACCATTTTGTTGCACTTAATTTTGATGTAATCCTAACCCTTAGATTGCACAATCTAAAGCACCAGATTCATTCTCATTTCTCTCCTAAGATCGCATTCTCACCAGAACCAAAATCTATATATATATATATATATATATATATATATATATATATATATATATACACATATATATATGGCTGGAAAAAGCTTTTCTCAGAAGTTCTTAATACAATTTCTGAAGAAGAAAAATTACAAGGTTCAGGTCAAGGTGAATTCAAGGGCTGCCCATGAGTATCCTTCACACCTCAAGATATTCAGAAGCTTTCCAGGAGATTCACCAATCATGGATTTTCAAGTCAATTTAAGAAATGTTGGATCTTCTGGGATAGTGATAAACTCATTTTATCTCAGGTACAAGAAGTTGAACAAGTTACTACCTGCCTTTTCAATTACAGAATTCGCTTACCTAGCCGCAATTTCCAAATTGGTACGAATTGTACCGGATCGCAAGTCGCCGGCGAACCGAACGCCACCGGTACGGCGATCCAAATCGGTGTGGTACGGCGCTCCAATTCGCAATTCGCTAGTGATCCAGATGCCCTAGAACGTCGCACCAAGTCGGATAATACGGTGTACCAATCGCCGGCGGTCCAGCGATCCAAATCGCAATTTCGTCTCTCCCGCGACCTTCCCTCTTCCAAGCGATTGTTTTCTTAGTAAATTGAAAAGGTCAATTCGCGATTGCACTTCCCCAAGTTCTGTACGAGTCGTTCATAGTCTCCGTTCCTTTCTCGAATGTTCTCTTACTTCTCCCTTTAATGTTTCGTTTTTTCCTAGGCAGTCTCCAAATATATATATACTCCGTATATGTCTCTCAAGTCTAACCAGTAACCACAACCCAATCTAAAGTCCTTAATATCCAGTAAGTTTTTCTCTCTTTTTTCAATGGCTTTTGGTAAAAATTATAAAGCCCATAATTCTCAAGATGATAGTAACAGTAACAGTGCTCATCTTATCTATTTTTGTTTACTTATATTTTGACTTTTGGTACACCGAACCGAATACATGGTACACCGTACCGCTTCGTACCACTTCGTACCGAAATGAACCTACCCCCTTTCGTACCGAATTCGTTACATCTAGAGAATTTCATACCCGTACCGCGTACCCGTACCGAAGCGTACCGCGATTTATGTGACTATGAGACAGACTCAATCTCTGGGAATCTCTCACTGATCACAACCTAGAAGCTAAACCTTGGATGGTGGGAGGGGATTTCAACACAATTACATCCTACACTGAGCATCAAGGTAATAGCTCTCCATGTAGCAGAATTATGGAGGATTTTAGAGATTTTATACTCAGCTGCAATTTATTAGAACCCACCATCAAAGGCAGTTTTTCACCTGGATGGGTTATAGATCTAAAGATAGGGTCTTACGAAGGCTTGACAGGATCCTTTTCAATCAAGAATGCTTGGATAGTTTTAGTGATATTTATCTTCATCACCTTAGCAAGACCTCCTCTGATCACAAGGCCCTACTTTTGGAGTGCATTAACTCTGCTTATAAAGGACCCAAACCCTTCAGATTCATTAATGCTTGGACTTTGGATGATAGCTTTTATCTAATAGTCAAAAATTATTGGAACTCTATCTCTAATGGTAGAGGAATGAGGGGTCTGGCCAATAAGCTCAAGGGTCTCAAATTCTGCATTAAGGAATGGAATGCTAACCATTTTGGCAATATTTTTACTAAAGTCAAGGAGGCAGAAGATGCAGCTATTAAAGCACAGGAAAGGTTTGAATCATGCAACACAGATGAGAACAGAGAGGCCTTTCATCTAGCAAATGCAAACCTTCTCAAGGCATGCAAAACTGAAGAAAACTACTTGGCACAAAATGCAAATATCAAGTGGCTAGCGAGTGGTGATGCTTCTACCAAATATTTTCACTCTCTTGTTAAAGGAAAAAGAAGGCAAGCTAGCATCAGAGAACTTAAAGATCATTCAGGGAAGGTGCTGCTAGATCTAGACCTTATTGCTAATTACATTTCCAATCATTATGAAGCTACATTTTCTGAGGACTATACTGGGAATCTGGGGGATATCATTGCTAACATTCCAACTGTTATTAATGACCTAGATAACCAGTGTATCACTACTCTCCCTCTGGAAGAAGAAATCAAAGCAGCAATATGGCAACTGAATCCCAACAGCTCTGCAGGTCCTGATGGTTACAATGAAGAATTTTTCACACTTTTGGGATATCATCAAGGCAGACCTTATCAGGGCCACTCATGAATACTTTCAAGGCATTCCCATTCCTATCGCTTTTGGAAGTACTAATATCACTCTTATTTCTAATGTGGAGGGAGCTAGAGAAATTGGTGACTACAGACCTATTGCTCTATCTACCTTTTTTAGTAAGATGCTGTCCAGGATTGTGGCTAACAGACTTGGCCCTATGCTTAATAAAATAATCTCTCCTGAGCAAGCTAGTTTTCAAAAAGGGAAAGGTATTGAGGAGCATATCCTCCTAACCAATGAACTGATGCACAACCTAGACTCTAAGGTTAGGGCAGGTAATGTTATGATCAAGCTAGACATGGCCAAAGCCTTTGACAAGATCTCCTGGAACTACCTTCAGGCCATCCTTCAAGCATTTGGGTTTAATGAACAAAGCATCTCTCTCCTTCTCCAAAATTTAAGGGTAACTTACATGTCTGTTTTGGTGAATGGGAAACCCAATGGGTTCTTTAAAATCAAGAGGGGAGTTAAGCAAGGTGATCCTCTTTCCCCTCTCTTGTTTATTATAGGATCTGAGGGTTTTCACTACAAGAAAAGTTGTGTTTAGCCACATTTAGTTTGTCGCACATGACCAAGTGTAGTTACAAAATTAACACATTAGTATTTCTCTGCACATATAAATGTGGTAATAAGTGATTTCATCTTCCTGCATAACTTAAGTGTGCCAAATCAACTAAATTTTCTTAAATAAAAAAACTATTTCGCCCAACTTTTTCATCCACACTGCCTAATAAATTTCTTACTCTGTATTAACCAAATCACCTCAAATTCGTTTTCATATTTCTAGCGCATCGCTCGTTCCTTCGGCCTCATCAAGTTCATCGTCCTCAGGATCTGCATCCTCTCTTCAATTTGCCATCATCCCTTGTTGTAGGTTTTGTGGCATGTTTGGGTTTAATCAATAATTCCTTGATGAGAGATGGAAACTACAGGAACGAGAGGGATCCTAGATTCATTCCTCTCCTCCTTCTTCGATTCATCAGGTGTGAGATGTGAGAGCATAGATGGTAACTACGAGAACAAAAGATGTCAGGGCTAGGGTTCGAAACCCTTGCACCCGACTATAGATCTCGAAGGTATGAAGCAGCATTTAGCGATGGAGGAAGCGAAATAGGGATAATCTTGAGAAGCTACAACGAGCGACCAATTCAAGATGAATAGCAACTTAAACGAAGCCAAATCTAAAAAAAATATAGCATCCAAGGGTGTTTTTCAGGGTATAGTCTTCAAGTCCATAGTTCTTCAATTTCCTCTTTGTTTATGTGTTTACTTCGTTATTACAGTTTAATTTTAGTATCAGTATGATTTCTTTAGGGCTTGACCAGATTTCGAATTATTTTTAATCATGTTACATGATTTTTATATGTTTTTTTAATTTTCAAGAAAAATGTTTTATGTTAATGAGTAGTTGATAATTTTGAGCATCTCTCTTTGTTTTTACCGTATGTATTCATCTGCAATTGCACTTGGAAGATTTCGATCTGGGCAGCATGGAGGGTTGGGCTGTGAGGTATAGACAGTGTGTTGGGGTGCCAGGTTTGACCAGCGGCTAAGAGCTGTTGCTCTCCCGAGGGTATTGCTTTTGTTTGGTGGGAGTCTCAGGGTACTATGCTTTGGCTATCTAATGTGCTTCGAGGTGCAGAGAATAACTATAATAAGAAGAAGTCTTAATTACTTATTTTGGTAAAATTTTGAAAAATGGTTTATTACTTTGTTTAAACATGCTTCACTTTAATTACTTATTATAGGGTAAGTCCTCTGTTAGGATTTGGAATTCTTTTGCATAAATATTGTTGAATATGTATTTACATTGCATATCAATCTTTTTATACAATGAATGATTTTTAATACGGTTATATGCTAAGTATTCAAATACTAATTCTTAGTATCTGGGTATTGATCTTTGTTTCAGGTTAGTTGTTGTGATTTTGTTGCTATGGAATTGATGTACTGTCTTTCTTATTGCACCCAACTAGTTCAGGTTATTAGTTTTGTTGGTGTAGGCTTTTCTTTGTTTATTGTCTGAGTATGTTCAAGGATTTAGTTTTTTTTTGTTCTTGCAGCTTGCTGACTTGGTTTAGGATGAGACCCTGGACACATTCAAGTTTAGCAAAGCCATTGGTATTTTATGCCTCTGGGGACTATGGCTAATGGTTGTAAATTTGACTTTAATTTTCTAGTATGAGGTATAAATAAGTACGTGTTTGCTGGTTTGAGTACGAGGTACCTATATATGTTCTAAAGTTCAAAAAGGTGCTGATCTGACTATAATATTGATCTGAGTATATGGCTTCAATGTTTTCGGTTTGAGCATATGGCTTGAATGTTATTGATTTCTTATTGATGTTGGATTGCAACATGGCTCTTAGGTTGAAACTTGCTTTATAATGAACTCATCTCCTTATTCAGACTCTAAAGTACACTCACAATTGTTCAATTTGACAACACACTCCTAATGGTGCCGGGATATCATGAAGGCAAATGGGGATGCTAGCTAGTGACTATATACCAACATTTAAGGCAAATTCCTTAGCATCAGATCTTGACAGCAGCACAATCTATCAACACTTTTCCCCGACCAGGTGAAGTGGATTTCATCATTGCTGTGTCAGGTATGATTTATCTTTCTTTGCCATTGATAATAAAGTTTACTGTTTAATTGCTAAAGAGAAATAATTTTAAAAAATCCATTTGAGTTTCACTTTGTCTGCAAGAGTTTTCTTGATTGAACAGGCACAATCAGAGTTCAACGAGTGATGTTCGATGCATAATGATATTGTTGCTTTTATCCTTTGTTGATTACTTAAGGCCCAAGTTCCTGCTAATTGAAAACGTCAGGAATCTCATTTCATTTGATAATATGAAGCCATTTCAGCTAACCATAGCTTCACTTCTTGAAATGGGTTATCAGGTATATAGATAATATGAAGCCATTTCAGCTAATCATATAATACACTCATATCATAAAAATAGATTCTAGTATCAAAGTGACTTTGTCTAGAAAATAAAGTATCTAACTACTTCTTAGTGTAAGACATCATTAAAAAGTCACATACAGGTTACATACGCTAAATTTAGTCAAACAACAATTTTTTTTCAAAAACATGTGTAGGGTTGAATTCATGATCCCCATAAACAGCCTGTTTTTTTTCCTTGAAAACAAATACTCGTTTACCTCTGTTCTTAAGTATTCATCACACAAAATTATAAAGCAATAGAGTGCTCTTCCCATAGAAAAGTGTGTGGGTGTGTATCATGTGCGTGCAAATTTGGGTTTTGGTGTAACTTCAACCTGACTAGGGTTCCTTTTCTTTTTCTTTATGTGCGGCCAGGTGAGGTTTGGAGTCCTGGAAGCGGGTGGTGTAGCACAATTTGGGACTGGTGACTATATTTTGGTTCCATATATAACAAGTTCGGCCCACTGCAATATCTTGGAGCTAAGGCAACATTGGCAACACTACTTCGTACATTTTTTCTTCCTTTCGGTATGACAACGGGTGACCATTACAACAGTATGTTTGGAGGCAACTTTTGGCCTTATGGTAGAGTTTTATGGACTTGGGAATTAAGATTCTTTGATTTGGTCATTGATTTTTGGCTTAGGAACATAAGGTTGAATATGTATTGTTTTTAGCTTTAATTCTAGTGTTGGTTTAGGACATTATATTGAAGGTCAAGGCACATTTGCAATCATAGTTTTAGATTAGATTTTTTAATTTGGTTCTGAGTTTGCTTGGTGTAATTTGTATATCTTTTCGAGGGGCTTAGGACTTTGGTTCCGTTTTCCCCTTTTAATACACTTTTTTAATCGAAGACTTTTTTTTTCTTATTTAATTATATTTGTATGAGTGTACACACTTATTTGTGTGCATATAGTTTTTTTTATTTTTTAAAATAGATATTTGTGACACTTATATGTGTGGTGCTTTCCCAACACATGTAAGTGTTGAGAAAAAAATTATTACCCGCACATATTAAGTGTTGGTAAAATATTAATTAGTGTTAGGCGTGTCGTAGCACCTACAAATTGATTAATTATTTTCCTTAACTTTTAACCCCCTTTATGAATTAATATTCATCAAAACATATAGATAGGGCAAGTAAGGGTCGATCCCACGAGGAAAGATACTTTTTAGGCTATGAAAATCAGTTCACTTGTCACTTTTATTAACTAAAAATTAACTAAACTAACATATATGGGGGGTTTGAATGATAATTCTAAAAGATAAAAATGCAAATAAAATAAAGATAAGGAATAACAGATAAGAGATTGAACCACAACAGCAAGCTCGAAACTCAGAAGAAAACTCAGGGAGAAAACAAACATATAAAAACAATCACAAAATAAATTTTATAAAAACATAGACAATAATAATTAACTTAAACCATTTTGAAAATACTTATACTTTTTAGTAGAAAATAAATTGAACAAATCTGATTAATCAATTAATTATGTCTTAATCCTGAAACTAAACTGCTAATTAAACTCAGGGTTAAGCTGAAGAAGAGATCCACCTGCGGTTCTTCCCTATTCTCCCTAATATAGCCTATGTTAAGACCTGCCCTAACTCTAGACCCTACTATTCTTAACAACCCAAGGACCTGCCTCCAGATTTAATTAAAAATAGAGCATTAAGTTCTTTGGAAAACATCACTTAAAAACTATGCAGTAGACTATATTTATTTAACATAGCTAGCTTGAAAACTCTGATTAATAAAAATTGGGTGGGAGCCAATTATGTATTAACCAGGTGACACTTGTGTTTTGAAAATCTTAGCTATAAACGTACTCAAGATCTTAAAACTGTCAATTGGAATTAGAGTTTAGGCGGCTGTCCTAAATTGATCTAATCCATGTTTAAACAAAGACTAGTTTTTAAACACCATTTTCGAGTTTAGATTTAACAGTAGCATAAAGCTAAAATTCCTTCAAAGTCAAATTAATTCAACAAACAAAGATTCAATCTTTTTCATCAAACAATTTGGCCTAAGAAGATTTTATAATTTCAGAGACAATAATAAATCAATAAATCATATTTGAACAATTCAACACTAACACACAAACAATTCAACACTTATAATATAACTTAAACATTCAACAAACATGGAATTGAAAATAAACATATTTAAAACTGACAATCAAATTCACAAATTGAGAAACTTATAAATTGGAAAGTCTTAATTAAGGAATGAAATTAAAAAGGAGAAAATTGCTCCCCTGAGTTTCTTCTTTGCTGGTTAATGGTGCGAGAAACAGAGTCGTGCAAAGTGCCCGCTAAGCTCAGCAGCCGTCCGTCCAATCCTCCGTCTATGCAGTCGCCGGAATCCATGGCCGAATTTGTCTTCGTCGGAATCCATGGCCGGACCTAGGGCCGAAACCCTAGGTCGGCTTCTCCTCTGCTCTCGCGTGTTCTTCTCGTCTCAATCCCCCCTTCTGGCCTCCGTATCTCCTTTATTAATAGAGCCACAATTTGAGTTGTATTGGGATTCTCTTTCTGGACTTCATCCGAGACTCCATTTCTTCTTTGCCATATTGTTCCTTTTCTTGCGCCACAATTTTACTCTTATCTTCCTCATTTTGTTTTATTTTTATTTTCTTTTTTTTAATGTCCAAAGATTATTTGAATGGGCCATTTGGATGTTGGGCCAATTTAATATTTGGGCTCGGCCCAATCTTCATTTCTTCTTTCATTACTTTTGTTCTCCAAAATCTATCTGAAAAATATGTCAAGAAGAAATAATACTCCAAAATAATTGTGGAATATAAATATACTCAAATTCATGCATTTTATCTATAAAAAGTAACAATGGCCTAAAATGCTAAATAAGACAAAACATGCTTATTTAAATATAAAATGCATATAAAACATCTTAAAACTACTAAGAAATAAGAGAATAAAATATGACATTTTGTGACTCAACAAATACCCCCACACTTAGACTTTTGCACGCCCTCGTGCAAACTAGATATTGAAAATCATTTTTTTTGTTGAAATTAGAACTCAAAACAATTTCTCAATCTTATAACAATATAAAGTGATGCATGAAACATTAAACAAAAATTAACCATGTACCAAATAGAATAAACACTTTAAAAATAAAGTTGCTACTTTAAAATTTAAACAATTCTTTTAGTTCAAAGCTTAGTAGAAATTACTTTTATTTAGTGTCAAAACTTTTAAATTAATTAAGACCATTGAGAGCAATTTAAAAGAAATCTATAGAGCAGCAAAACTTATATATATATATATATATATTATTTAAAGAAAATTTTATTATAATAAAATAAAAAGGAAAGAGGGGTGGCTCGGTCCCCAACAAGGAAAGCCAAAGCAAGAAAAGCCAATCCAAGAGGAGATACACATAAAGAAGCTAAAATAAAAAGCCAAGAAAAAGAATCCAAGGAACAAAATGACAGAGATGCCACAGCCATTCCAGCTTCAAAGTGGGCACAGTAAGACATCTTGGTTTGCTTGGATAGAAGGTCCAAATACTTCACAAACAAGTTGCAACTTCCAACACGGAACAGATTTTTGAATGAGTAATCCGGAGTGTGCAATACCATGTTCTGCTGTCCCAAGCACATATACCTGCTCAAAGATAGATAAAACAATAGGACTACCACCAATGAAGATGCCAACAAAGAGATAAAAGCAAGATAGCTCCCCTTAACACAAAAATCAGAAGCTCAAAACCTCCATTGGTCTTCCGATTCCAAAGAAATCTCTGATCGACTTGGAGAAGGAAGACGACGTCGCCTTGCAAGCCTAAGACTCCTTCTAGGAGCTAGGGGGCTAGAGCCTCTAGCACATCCCCTCTCGAAAATGATCCGCCCCTGATCATTATTACGAATGAGTGCAGCAGTAAGTCCCTTTGGACCTCCCCACCGCTGTAGGTGGTCATCACGCTCGATACCATCATCCGGGTACCATTCTCTCCATGGTTCCGGGTCCGGGTCAAAATCTGCACTGTCTCTAAAGAACAATTGAAAGTCCGGGCTGTCCTCCTTACTAAAAAGCTCTGAATCTGATAGGCATGCTCTAGAGTCTGTTTGTCTTTGATCCTCCTCTTCTGGGAAAACAACCTGTAAAGGTTCAAAACTGGGTACAGCAGCTAGAGTGTTTAAGGATCCTGATTCCAAAGAAGGTTGCAGCTGTGGACAGGGGCTAGGTGTGTTATCTAACGGAATAGAATCCGAAGGGTCCTCTCTTGCAATAGGAGACATACCCAAGGAATTATTCTCAACATGTAAACTGGCCTTAGGTTTCAAGAAATTAAGGGAACAAAAATGCAGAAACAAATGAAACCAAATAAATGAACTAGAGCCACCAGGAAATGCAAACTTAGTCACTGGGGTGTTAATAGAGCAGGTTGTTGGATGTGAATTCGAAGATACAAAAGGCCTGGGAGAAAGAACCATAGCATTTACGTCTTGTTCCGAATGAATGGAAGAACCTGCTACTGACTCAGACAACCCCGAAACCCCTACTGGAAATGGGGAATTCAATGTTTTCCCATTTTTTGCTGCCAAGATGGGTTCATCCACCTTATTCTTACCCTTTATCTTAGAAAAAAAAGAGGATAGGTAGTTGAACAAATGTGAAATGCCATCCCTCCTTTCAATAGGGAAGAAAATAGAGGAAATACCTTCGAATCTATGCTCAATAATCCTGATATAGTCCCCCCATTTGTTGGAGCCAAAAGAAAGTGAAAGCTTACGATTTGTCTCAAACCTTGAAAGAACCCAACTATTATTTCGTAAGAGCCTAGAGAGGGAGTCCAAAATCCAGTTAAAAGCCTCAAAATTCAACCAAATCTGAAAAGTTCTTCTTCCTGTCTCAGTGATGCAGAAGTACAGATTGTAGCCAGAGTGGAAGAGATTGAATACCTTTTCTTGAAGTCTAAAGCTGGAGCTGGTGTTACGACTTTCTAGTCGAGTAAGAGACGGGCGCAGAGATACACCTTCTCGATTTGACTGCCAATTAGAACGAAGGTTACTAGCTCTACAATCTGACCATCCCCGATCTTAATTCGATTCTTTCAACCCCCTCCAGGAGCTAGAAGATGAATACTTATGCAAACGAAATCTAAATCTCTGGTCATACTCAGGTAACTTGAGCCCAGTGAAGAAAGGGTTCTTCGATTTCGTCGAATGCGTCTGCCCCCTCCAGGAATTAGAAGATGAATACCTATGTGAAGGTAATCTAGATCTCCGGTTAAAGAGCCCAGCGGAGAAAGGGTTCCGCCATAAAAGCCGCCGGCCAAGATCGCCGTGAAAGAATCCTCTCTCTAAACCCATATATATATATATATATATATATATATATATATATATATATATATATATATATATATATATATATATATATATATATATATATATATATCATATTTGACAAACTTAATTATCACATACTTAAAATTTCCAAATTAAATATTTATTTATATATATGTTTGTGTATTTAATCATATTGTCATATAATATACTATAAACAATATATAAATAAAGTGCAACTTTACTCCACTTAAATATTCTACACTTTCATACGTTCTATGTGTGTGACCCTATTCTAGGCATCTATAAAATTTGCCATAGTATAAAATACTACAAGTGATAAGCGGTATCTAGCAACACATTATCACCCCCAAGTTATAGATTAAAGCTCTTGGAACAATTCCTTCAACGACACATCTTATTTGTATAACTATTATCCCTTTATCACTAATATCTTGATTTAACACAAGGTATGGGGTGTGTCACCTTGTTAGAGTTAAATCGATGGTTTACTGATTTTTCGATTGACTTGTGGGATTCAAATAATATATTTATTTGGGCATGGCCATGCACTTCCCAAGTCACATCAATCAATGTGCCCTAAGACATTATACTTCATCAAAGAAAGGATAAATTCTATCTACGTCATTCACATCTTCACTTAAGTTTCCTTGCATACCCAAAACATAACTCTACATCCACCAATATTTGAGACGGCATAAATGATGCTTCAAAGTATACAATTTAACTTACCAAAGAACGTTATGACTTCAAGTCGAAGTATAGTTATACTAATGGTTGCATGAGAATAAATGAATAATACTTTAACTTAAACCCATATATTATTCTCATAGCGGGTCAATCCAGCAACATATCCAATATGTTTGCCTACGTATAGATTCAGATAACACTTTATCTATAGCCTATGAGACGCAGCTATCTCATCTCATACATATTAGTCTTAATATATTATGATGTCCGTAATGTCATAATATTTGACTAAGGATATTTAAGACGTAGCCTCTATCTTTGTAACAGCCTCATAATCAGAACGTCGTAGTTCTCATCTATGTTACTAGAGCGCCTACTCTATGGACTAAAGCTATGTTTAAATCACACGAGACGACTTAAACAATCTTTAGGGCCTGTTGTTCTTGATATAATATATATAGATATGGAATCATAAGTTGGCCTCTAGGGCTCACTTATATTCAACAGATCCTGCATAGAAGTACAGATGTGAGAACCACATCCAGTGTCAATCACCCAAGCGGTGAAATCAGACATGTTGACTTCAATAACATAAATACTTGGGAGAGCTTCAATTTTTTCTAGTATTTTAACAAACCAACAACCCTCAATGTTGATTCGGAGATTCTCCTAGAAATTCTCTTAGTGGGCCAAGATCCATATTTTATTAAATTACAGTTGACCTGAGGTTCGTACCTAGAATTTAACTATTTAGGTAGGAACCTAGTTCCAACTATATCGAGCCGCACTCACAGTTCGTGGTCTTGTGTTGGGCAAACGACAATACTACTAACGGACCAGAACACCGTTTCATCGTACATGTGATTGGCTTTGGCACGTACCACATGCGCAACTACTTAAGTTAGGGCAAAGCCCAATTAAGTAATAGAGACCCAACTTCTGGCTGGATGAGTGAGTAAAGTAATTCCTCTTGTTAGTTTAGTGACCCCAACAAAAACCGCCTCTGAGTCATCCATCCATTTGACCGAGACTCAGTTAAGTCTAACCCAACATCTGACAATGACCACTTCAGTGATTCCCGTGACCAGCATAACATCCATCGTACAATGCTCTGCTAGGGCTGAGTACGTGACAGTGCACATTAGCCAGAAAGGTGTCGGCCGCCGGAAGGCAATACAGACTTAATATTTCGAGGGATTTTAAATTTTACAATCTCACCTACGACACATGCCACGCACGTGTCAATTTATTACCGTTAAACATACATTCACATGCTAACACTTTATGGCCAAGGACAATCCCTTCCTTTACCATAAAGTGACATTTCTCCCAACTTAAAGCTATTTTTTTTTCTTCACATCTTTTCAAAACTTTCTCAAGATTATGGAGGCATTCATCGAAGGTTTTAGTTAGCCTTGGTTTGCTAAGTCTCATGTTTTGATGTTAACAAACAATATAGGAGCTAGACGTTTGTTTAAGTGTTTTAGGTACAACAAGAATCCATTAAGATTCGGTACTCAAGAATGACGTTAAAACACCAAACTAACGTAGAATATAGGAAGAAACCAATGTAAGGATATGATTTTATATACCTATATTCACAAGCTCAAAAACACTCACAAAATATGTTTAAAACCCTTTTATAATCATTTTCAAACATCCAAAAAGTTTTAAACAAAATTGGAAATGATTTGGACAAAAATGAAAAAATTGTCAAAATGGTCATAAGGTACCTAGGTACTGTATGCACAGACCCCCCTACCGTAAGGGGTACCGTAAGAAATAGGTACCGCCAGAGAGTTTTGGCTTGAGAAGGTACCTAGCTACCGTAAGCACGGGATCCCCCTACCGTATGGACGGGACCCCCCTACCGACTGGACGAGACCCCCCTACCGTGACCGTTCGATTACTGTTCCTGATTTGTGATTTTGACTTTAATCAATCCTAATCAACTCCGAACGTCTAATTAACATCTTCAACTATAAATACATGCCTAATCCTTCATACTCTCTCCGTCCCAGAGTATTCGTCTAGTTTTGACTTTTGGAACTGTTCATCTAAGCACTTTGATTCTTCAAATTCTCTCAATGTGTAAGCCTAAATATAATCATGTGTGATCTTGTTTGATTTTTCTTAACATATAGATTATTAATATATAATTTCTATAATTTTTTTAATATACAAATTACAAGATAAAATGGATTAAAGAAGTGCATTGGATGGTGTGTAAAAATGAAAGTGGACAAATACTCTGGGATGGAGGTAGTATTTCTTTAAAAAACAAAGCTCTAAACATCCTCTTTTTTTATTCCAAGTGTGTTCATCCTTCTATTAATTATTTGCAATATTTTTGTCTATTTTAAGAGCCTTAAATTCCTAATTTTTATATACACACTTTGAGCTTGTGTTTCTAGCTATATACTCTCATATTCATAAGTTTGAATTGTATTTTGGAGAGAGTATACTTTCCTTCTACACCGGCTAAGTTTTGTTTTTCATTTTTATATTCAAGCCGTTGTGTAGAACTCTTGTTTGTGTTCTTCAAACACATCTTTATACGGTCGAGAATAGCCGTTAAATTCTCATATTGTATCGGTCGAGGATAGAAGTATAAATACTTGGGTAAAGGTTCAAGGATAGCCTTTGAAATCCTTGGGGGAGCGGGAGAAGATAGCCGTTAAATCTTCTTTGGAAACGGTTCGAGATAGCCGTAGTGAAATCTCGGAGTGAATCCTATTGGCAAGGGTTGTTTGCCAAACTAGTGCGGTGCTTTGACGGAGTTCAAGAGGCCGGAACTTAGTGGATTCGGAAAACCTTGAGGAGGAGCCTCGAGGTACTGGAGTAGGGAGTTCTCGATCCAGTATAAAATCAGTGTGCACTTTATTTATGCTTTTATTTCTGCATTTTATATATTGCTTCCGCATTTGCCAACACCGTTTTTATCAAGCTCCGAAAAGATTTAAACGCCTTATTCACCCCCCCTCTAAGGCATGGGCACAACGACTAAACCGACTAACAATTATATTGGTATCAGAGCAGTTTCGTAGTTGAAAGTGCTTAACCGCATCTACGACAAAGATCCACTTGTTGTGTCCCTTTTTAAATTTGAATTTTTAAACTCAAAATTTTATTATTTTCTTTAAATTAGGCCCAAATGGACTCTCAAAGCATCCACCGCCCTCCGTTTTTAATGGCCAAAATTATTCTTATTGTAAAATGCGGATGGAATATTTTATTCAATCAATTGATTATGATTTATGGTTGAATGTACTTCACGGGCCATTTGTGTCGAGTAGTGGTAGCCTTGCAGGTTTATCTTCGGAGGATAAGAGAAAATTATGCATGAATGCAAAGGCAATCAATATCCTTCATTGCTCTCTTGGCCCCGACGAATTTGCAAGAGTGAGTACATGCAAAACGGCCAAGGAAGTATGGGATCTACTAGAAGCCACACACGAAGGAGACATCTCAACCAAGCAAACGATGATTGCCCTAGGAAACTCGGAGTACGAATCCTTCAAGAAAGGGCCATGTGAGACAATCCAAGACATGAACAAGAGGTTCAACGAGAAATTCAATAAATTGAGTAAGTTGGGTAAGACGTATACTACTTCCGAGCTTAATACGAAAATTCTATTTTCTTTACCTAAAGAATGGCATAGTAGTATCGTAGATTTATTACCCAAATGTGATAAGGCCGAAACCGCCCACATTTGGTCTTCCTTATATTCTCACGAGCTTTTGTTGAGAAATATCAAAGAGGAAGAAATGCGTGAAAATCCCAAGCTTACCAACGCCTTCAAAGCTTCAAAAGACTCGTCTAGTGAAGAGTCAAGTGAATAAAGTGATGATTCAAGCGACTCAAGCTCTACGGAAGAGTTGGATGATGAAGAAGACGAAGAGAAGGCAATGAGAAAGAAATATACGGATTTCCTCAAATGGAAGAAGTATGTGAAGAGGAAAGAAACGTATAAAAAGCCAAAGAAAGAGCGACATATTGTAATTATTTTTAAAAATAAAACATTATCCCATACGTGCTTTTATTTACTTTACCCTTGGTTTGCATGATTAAATAATTTTTTTTAAAAAAATTCATCTTTAAATCATGCTTTTTAGAAAATAATCCCTAAAAATCCCTGAAAAAATTAAAGTTCTTAAACTTGCATCATTGTAGGGGGAGTTTTCATTTTTAGAGGGAGTTTCGTTGTAAATGCACCTTTTGCCCAAAGATCTCAAAACTATCATTTTTCCTAAAAATTCATTTTGATAGGGGGAGAGTTTCAAGAA